TCTCCCCCTTTCTTCCTTCTGCCGCTTCTTGGGCGCCGCTCGCTGCCGCCGGCGAACAGGTTGGTCGGAACCACCATGACGATCGTGCGCAGCCCGGCACTTCCCCTCCCCTCCCTCTCCCCCTCTCCCTCTGCCCGACGCCGGCAGGACCGGTTTATTAGCAGCAGCGCCTCACTTGCACTATCAATACTACGAGTGGCGCGGCGCGCCGAAGCACATTCGCTCACTTGCACTATCAGCCGCACAGCCTCGCTCAACTACTTGCACTATCGATACACGCCGAGCCGAGCCGCCGCGGCCGCGCCACGCCTCACCTGCGCCTCACTATCAGGACTGCACTGTTGTCGAGGTCGGGGTTGTTGACGTGAGCGCTATGATCCGCAGGTATGGTGCTCTTCGCCGTCTCGTCCTTCACCTGCTCCATGCCGCACTTCATCTTCGGCAAGCAGATGATCCAGGCCATGAGGGACCCCGTCAAGACCCCCGTGAACCAGAGCGAGACCTTCGTCTACGGGCCGAACATCTGCCGCCTCGAGGACAACGAGCACCTCGGATGGCCCGCCAACGGCACTTCGTGCGCCGATGACAACCTTCCATGGACCGCACAGGAGAACAAGTACGTTCTCAGCATCGTATTAAGGTTACCCCATACGAACTAAACCCAAGGCCGCTAACACTTCCACCACAACCCCACCACAAAAAAGGAAAGAAAAGAAAAACTACATAATCCTGACCCGGCATCTCTCTGTATCTTTTTCCCAGGGGCAAGCGGTGCGAGGAGGAGGAGAAGCAACGCCAAAACGGCAAGATCACCACGATCGTGCTGGCCATCTTCTTCATCAGTCTGCTCGGCGTCGGCATGGGACAGACGGCGGTGTACACGCTCGGCATACCGTACATAGACGACAACGTCGCAAGCCGAGAGTCTCCGCTTTACTTTGGTACGACATTGAAACCAGAAACACACGTCCTTCACTCTAATTTACGTCATGACCCGACGCTCGCACCTGGACGACGGCTTTACCAGCGTGTTGTCTGCCACAGCGATCACCATCGGAGTTCGCATCCTGGGCCCCGCGCTTGGCTTTATCCTAGGATCACTCTGCACGCGGCTGTACGCCGACCTTTCTGTCGACCCGAAGATCACCCCGGAGGACCCGCGCTGGGTCGGGGCCTGGTGGCTTGGTAAGTACACTTTGCAACAATTTATTTTAAACGTGTGTGATAAATTTCACTAACCATGTTAGCTCCATTGTAGCGATAAGTACCCGTTCGTATCCACTCCCCTTATTTTCCCCGCTGGTACGTGCGAGTACGCGTCCCTTTGGGCACCGTGCCGTGTCATGGACTGGCGATAAGCTGATAACCACGGTGGGCACAGCGGGGCACAGCGGGGCACAGCGGGGCGCAGCGGGACACAGCGGGGCACAGCGGGGCACAGCGGGGCACAGCGGGGCACAGCGGGGCACAGCGGGGCACAGCGGGGAGAGCCATGAATGGCATGAGCTTCTATGGAGGCGGGCGCTGTGCGCGAAAGCCCACCCTCCCCGCGCCCCGCCCCGCGCGAGGGGTCAATAACAAGTCAGCCGCCTGCCCACTGCCCGTGCTGCGGCGAAATGGAGACAAATTCGAAATAAACTTGACCGTCTCTCTCCTCCTCTGCCGACAGGCCTGGTGCTCGTGTCGTCCATGCTCATGCTGGCCTCCCTCGCCATGTTCTCGTTCCCGAAGAGGCTCAGCACGTCGCGGCCCGCGCCCAGGGCGGTGCGCAGGGAGAAGAAGAACCCCAGCCTGAGAGGTGAGAGTGAGAGTGGCAGCCGAGGCACTGGCCGGCCGGCCGGCGGCCCGTTGGGTTGCCTGCCCGCACGGCGGCTCCCCGCGCCGCGCGCCCGATGGGTTGCCTGCCTGCCGGGCGGACCTGACGAACCGTTTGCCCCGCAGACTTCCCCAAGGCGGTGAAGCGGCTGCTGCACAACGACATCCTCATGTGCCGGACGGCGAGCAGCGTGCTGCACATCTTGCCCATCGCCGGCATCTACACCTTCCTGCCCAAGTACCTCGAGTCGCAGTTCCGCATGCCGGCCCATCGCGCCGCCTTCATCTCGGGTGTCGGCGGCATCCTGGTGATGGGGCTCGGCATCGTCATCAGCGGCGTCTTCATCCTGCGCGTCAAGCCCAACGCGAGGTTCGTCGCGGCCTGGATCGCCTTCACCGCCCTCGTCTACGCCGTCGGTGAGTGCTTCCTCCTCGACGCGCCCGTCCCCCGGTGGCGCCATGGCCATGACTAAACGGACTCTCTACTGTTAGGCATGGGCGTCCTCATGTTCATCGGCTGCCCGATGGATGACTTCGCGGGCCTCATACCGCAGGAGGACGGCCTGCCGAGGTTCGAGCCCGTGTGCAACCGTACATGTGCGTGCGACGACGCCAAGTTCAGCCCCATCTGCGGCGCGGACGGCAGGACGTACTTCTCGGCGTGCCACGCGGGCTGCACCAACGTCTCGCGAGACGTCACGGGCATGATCGAAGGGGTGAGTACACTACAGCTTCGCATCCAGAGTCAGCCATGTCCGGGCGGGGTCACTAACGCATTCTGCGTTCTCACTCCGCAGTTCTCCGACTGCCGTTGCATGTACTCCAACGCGTCGACGCCGCTCCACCTCGTGACGGGCGAGTTCCCCGCCGAGGCCAGCGTCGGCTACTGCGGCCTGCAGTGCGGCAACTTCATCTGGTACATCCTGCTCTTCTCGCTGTTCGTCTTCATCCACTCCACGTCCGAGGTGGGGTCCATGCTGCTCATCCTGCGGTGCGTCGATCCCCGAGACAAGGCGATGGCGCTGGGGCTGATCCAGTTCGCCATCGGCCTCTTTGGTAAGCGGGCAGAGCGCTTCCCTCGACGCTCAACCAGCACCACCACCGCCGTGGTCCCGGACTCACTCTTTGCTTCATGTCCTCTCTCGCAGGCAACGTGCCGTGCCCGATCGTGTACGGTGCGGTGGTGGACTCGGCCTGCCTCGTGTGGGAGACAGCTTACGGGAAGAAGGGGGCGTGTTGGCTCTACGACGCCAGCATATTCAGGATGTTCTACCACGGTAC